ACAGGGCGAGAGCGCACTGTATTGGTCATCTCTTTGATAAGGGAGGGGAGCACTACGCCAGCGCTCACCCAGCCCTCACCGCCTTATTGCAATTTCCCTTTTGGGAAAGAAAAAAGGAAGAGGAAAAAAAAAAAAAAAAAAAAAAAAAAAAAAAAAAAAAAAAGAAAAAAAAAAAAAAAAAAAAAAAAAAAAGAAAAAAAAAAAAGAAAAAAAAAAAAAGGGGGAAGAGAAGAAAAACGGAAAAAAGAAGGAAAAAAGGGAAAAAAAAGGTGGGAAAAAAAAAAGAGGGAAGGGGCAAAGAAAGTTGAGCCCCGGCGAGGCCGAGGGGGGTTCTCTCTCTTCACGCTTCGAATGGACTGCGCTGCTCACTATGGGCGGTGGCCCTCGGATTGTGGGTAGGATCAGGGCTTCCCTATCTCGTTGGAAGACTGCCGTCGATCCTCGCTGCGGCCACCCATCCTTTTCCCGTTGGGAAGGAAGAAGGAAGAAGGGTCCTGTGAGCGCACGTGTGTATGTGTGTGTGTGTGTGTGTGTGTGTGTGTGTGTGTGACCCACCCCTTATCCCTCCGGGTGGTCAGCGAAGGGCCAGCAAGGCCAGATTCCTCGGGGGGCAACTGGCCTTGTGGCCAGACGCCCCCCGGACACCACACACACTACACAACCACAAACACATACACAGACACAACCACATAGCACAGACTTGGTCCATCTTAACGTAAGCCCGGAGGTGGAATTCCACGAGGTGCCTGTCCACTCGCCCGGGCTGATAGTCAAAGCTGCCCTCGAAGAGCTTCTAGACTATCGCCCAGCACCTCTGGGTTTCGAAGCCATTCTACAAACATCACACTTACTATCTCGTTGATCTCCCTGGCGGCCTCCCGTGGGTCGGTGCTGAGTAGGAGGAGGAGCGCAGTCTATGCTGTAATGATTTGCAAGGATTGTGCAATGCTCCGGTTCGAGCTGAACCTCATGAATCTACAAGGGGGAAAACTCAGACCTTTCTTCCTGTCGTGCTTAGAAGTGGAGTACGTGCCCTGCTCCCTGGATGAGACCGCAATCGTCATGTTGAGGAAGTTGGTACTGATGCCCACATCGCCGTCCTTCACTTCAGTGGTTTCTCTCATCTCGATGTAGCTCTTGGGATAGATCCAGATCGGGTCAGTGCCCTGGTCGCAGTCTTCCTTGAAAAACTCACGAAAAACTGGATTGTTCAACGAGCAGAGGTCGTCCACATACCTGTAGGTGTCGTCGAAGGCTGGTACCAGTCGCTCGTTGCCTGTCCTCAGAAGTCTGATCATCGCTTGGTACTCATACCTGAAGAAATAGATGTCGCACCAGACCGGGGAGCAGGCCAGGCCCATCGGTATACCCAGCACCTGCTTCCAGACGCATGTGCCATCTGTATCAGGCTGTGCGCCAGGCACCACTGCGTCACTGCTACTATCTCCTCATCGAAGAAGAGCTCATCGCCAGTATTCTGCAAGCGCTCCTCCACCCAAGATGGAAAGAAGTACCCGTCAGCACTAACCCTGACCCTAATGACGTCCCTAGAGCTCCTATCTGTACGATATTCCAAGGCTAAATGCACGAAGAATCTGACTGCCATCACTAGGCTGTGCTCGGAGTCGTCAGTAGGGATGGTCTCGAAGCAACGCGTGATGTCCGCCGTATAGACTGAGAACAGTAGCTGCGGAAGATTGGCTGCGAATTGTCCAACTGATGCAATGGGCCACCAGAGGTTCGGTTTCACTCCGTATTCAGCCTCCATTTCAATGCTTTTCTCTTTACAGGAGCCCTGCACACAAGGGACGAGGAAGCCGAGCAAGGAGGCGCAGAGACTAGCCATCGGGGAGACGATGGTATTGGCGGTGTTGGTGATCCACCGGAAGGTCCGTTTGTGTGCTTTATAAATTGTCATGAGGTGCAGGAGTGCTCCGTTGCCAACAGGGAGGGCTGACAAATGGGTCAGTTATCCTCTGATACCGTCAATGAGTGGATCCGGATCCTCGTTCAGGGGAACGAAGTCCGGACTTTGCAGTCTGCGCAGAGCCAGGACCCTGATGAAATCTACGCAGACAAAGGATGGGGTACTAGCAGACTTATCGATAGGACAGATCAGAAAGTGCTCAGTCAGGAAGTCTATCTCCCTCCTGGTACTCGTCCGTTCTATGGGTTCCGCGGAGATGTGTCTGTTCTTGCTGCGGTGACCGGCCATCTTGGCCTCAGCCTTCTGCAGGACCAGTTGTTTGAACTTCCTCCTGTGCGATTCGCTCAGACTCGCGATGTCATAGGAAACGATAATAAGCTTGTCTAGTAGAAGGTCCACCTCATACAATGCTTCCCCGATGTCGTATGCCCTTAGTGGAACGTGGTTGAGTCCTGCCTTCAGCATCGCCTGCAGTCTCCCGTTGTTGGTAATGGAAGTGTCCATCGTCAGGACGTGCGTCTGCTCCGATCCTGGAAAGAGCTCCAAGGTGTGCTGGCTGTGCAAGTTCATGTACCTGTTGGTTCTGCAATGGGCCTGAGCTGGATCGTACTGCTCGGTCCATTGTTCAATGTCGACATCCTTGAACACCTGCTTTGGTCTGCACACGTGCGCCGCAACAGATTTGTCGTAAGTCCATCCGAACACGACGCCATCCAGCCATTGCGCCGCTTCCTCGCCCGCAACCCTCCAGAGAGCATCCTTAATGAGCCTGCGGATTGAGAATGCTTCCATGGCCCTGCTGGTATACTTCATGTGCAGGAAGGTCAGATTCTCCCGGTTGTGCTTCTTCCAGACCAATCTCCCAGTTGGCAGTCGAATCATTTCCCCACCTGTCGCTTCGTCCCCATCGCCCAGCCTGGGATCCTGTTGAGAGAGGAGGAGGAGGAGGAGGGGGTTGTAGCGGGGGAAGGGGGACAGCTCGGATCACAACGGACCACATGGACGGTTTCAGTTCTTTATCAGCACGACGCAGGGGCCGAGGCCTCAAGCGGCAAACAATCGGGGGAGAGAATGAGAAGGGCAGAAAAAAAGTTATGCACTTAGACACTCATCTATGCTTGCAGATCCACGACTCAGGACTTCGTTCGTATTATATACTCAAGTACCTGTATACATATCCATATATACATGCATATATACATGCATATATACATATATATACATATATATATAGTCGTATTAGGACATAAGACGCAGTCCTGGACCTTCCCCCAAATCAACTTGATGTCAACAGATCTGTGAACTCAAGCCTGCGTTCCATGCCATTCATTAAGGCACCTCTATATGTATATGTGCATACCTGCAGGGGTTAATCAAATCCGAATGACGAACCGAGCTCCCTTCCCGCTGTAGGATGCTTAGCTGGTACGCCTATGTCCCTGTACTATGATGTGTGCACCTCTGTAGTTCACACACCGCTGCAAACCCGTGCTACGGGGATGCGGCCGTGCGCCTAATCGTGCTAATCTATCTGTGCAGATTTAACATAAGGGTGCCAGAGGATTTGGGGGGGTGCGTATATTAGTGAGGACGTGGTGCTGTCCAATCATGGTGTCGGTATTTGAATACCCCTGTTGTGGGTGGTCTTCTTCTTCTGCCTCTTGTTCGGCTGAGAGTGCACCGAGTCAATGTCCGAGATGTCCTCAGGTGCTCTCTTCTTTCCGCGTGTTTGCGGAAGCCGCGCTGCCAGTGGTCGTGCTGACACCGGGGTGGCGAGGATAGGTGGCTGCCCGCCCCGCTGAGAAGATCGCTGCCCCGCTCCCGCCCGCTCAGGTCCGCCCTGCGTAATTCCCTGTTGGGCGATGCTGCCACTTAGTGGCTGAGTCCCTCCTTGCCCATGGGGGGTGTGGCCGCTGCTGCCGGTAGATTAGCTGCAGTCTCCTTCAATCGCTGTGCTTGTTGTAAGATGGGCAGTTGCCGCTGCTGGCCTGCGAGCGCTGTGCTGTGATCAGCCTGCTGTTGCGCGGGCTGCGCTTGCGCAACTGCTGGTGGTACATCGCCGACCGCTCTGTTGACCGTTTGGAAGTTGAGCCTACCTTGTCCCGGAATCTGAGCGATTGGGTTCCTGCCCTTGGGGGCCGGCAGGACCCACCTCGGTCTGTCAGGGATCCTCGTCGGAAGGAGGAGTCTACCAAGTGCCGGTGGGAGCTGATACCTCCACAGCCGTTCATCCCTGATCACCGTTTCGGTTGTGCGCTGCGGGTCCTGTTCCAGTGCTTCGATGAAATCCATCATGATCTCTCTAATGAACAAGAACGTGATGCAACCTATCACAACCTCCTGCCACGTGGTCCTGAGGTAATGGACTAGCATCGACGTCCTGACTCTGATTGACGACAACGTGGGAAAGAGGACGTCTGGGTGCGCTAAGAGGTACCAGATGGCGTGGTCGACCCACAGGGGGCCGCCGGGACAGTCCTTATCCTAATCTCCTTGCTTGCAACTACACTTGAGGTACGGTCTCCGGACACTCCAGACCTTGCGAAGATTCCTAAGGTCACGTGCTGGAGGTTGCTTGATGGCTTTGTGCCACATGACCGGGCTAGAGTCCCCGCATTTCTCCGGGTCCACGTAGCTCATCAGTGGGAAGGCAGGGTCACTGGGCAAAAACGGATTGACCGATTTGCCACAGTATTTCATCTGTGCGGTGTAAGCCCGGGTCCTGCATTTTCTAACTTGATCGTCTGTAAGACCGACCAAGAATTGAAAGGCTTTTACTGAGATCGGTGCCAAGTGATTGTACTGTCGAACTTCCATACGCGGTGACCGAAGCCGGTCGAGGTGTGCTCTACCCATCGTTGCGAGGCTAATGGCGCAAAGGCCGTGAATTGCCTGGACGAGGAGGCCGACCGTCCCGGCCTAGGGGCAGCAACCCTCCTCTGCGAGGGATGGTGCACTGTCGCAGAGATAGTGGCGATTGCTTGCTGCATCTCAGCCATCTCTTCCTCATTGAGTTCAAACGGTGCGCAGCCTGCCGTTTGGTTAGGCTAAGGCGGGGCGGCTTGTTGTGCAGGCGCAGCTGGCGGGGGTACTGGTGCGGCTGGAACAAGATCCCTCAGGTGCGAGTCGCTCAGTCCCCAAGCGCCCAGGAAGATCTGCTCTATCTTAGCTTCTCGCCTAGCCAAATCGGCGCACTCTCGGGCATAATCCTCTTTCAATCGTTCTAAGTCCGCCCCTAGACGCTCAACCTCCCCTTGGAACCCAACGGGGTTGCTATCCCATGCCATTGCCAGTTTCGCCAGGTCACTGAATCCCACCATCTCGAAGAAGTTGGGGAATCGGCCGGTTTCCCATACTTGTTTGACGACCTCCATTGTCTGCGACTTCATACATGCGATTAGTGCTTGAGCGGGTTTGATGGGGGACGTGCACTGCTCGAGCCAGGGAAATCTCTCAGTGATGTCGCTCCACCAACAACCTGGGAAATCCTCGTTAGGAACAACCTGTAATCCACAAGACGGGTACTGCACAAAAAAAAGGGGGGGAAGGAAAAAAAAGGGAAAGAAAAAAAAAAAGAGAAGAGGAGATGGAAAGGCGCCACAACAAGAGGGGAGGAGGAGGGGGGAAGTAGAGAAGCACGGGCCACTAGCAATCGTTATCCAGATGCAACTTGTGGTCAAACCAGCACGCCATACCTCACTGTTAAATCTTTTCGATGTCATCGCCTTGCTTCGAATTCCTGACCATTCTTCTTCGCGTTCCGTTGTTACGACGTCTAAGCAGCACGAGGTGTGGCTGAGAGGGGCACCCATCAGCAGCGCTGCGGGGATAATCCCACTCGTGTGTGTTTTGATGTGTGTGCATAAAGCACTCCGTGGCAAGTTACTCTATGGCAGGAATACTGGTCCGATGACATGTCACCGACACACCTCAAACTTAGGAAAATTTGCAAGAATGGTCGATTCTAATCGTGGCGAAAAAAACATCTACTCGGATCTCCAAGTGATCCTGGCGTCCCATGAGTTCCTCCACCGCTACGTGAATAACCCTAGTGCTGGTACTAGCAAGGACAAGTCATCTCTCTGGTGTCCTTGGCTTGGGATCGTTGAATGTGTGAGCAACGCGCCTACCTGTATACCCGTTTACTACATGGGTCTTATCGGCTTGAGTCACATTGTTAAAAAGCAAGGGTATCGAACAGGCTATTTACGTAAGATCCAGTTGTCCCCATTCTTCGCTCATCCTAATCGACAACGTGTGTCAGTGCTCTAACTTCGTTCGTAAAAAATGTCCTTGCATGGAATCGGTGGGCCAGTAGGGTCGTAATGAAGTGCGAATGGATCAGCACATCACAATGGTTGCCTGCCTCTTGGCCGGGTGTTAGTTGAGAGAGTTAACCATCACAGAAGGTCATCCTCACGTACCTTGTAGGGATGCCATGTAACAGACCAGGTCTCGTATCTCAGTATTGGCGGACCTCCCTTTCTAAGGTGAGGGGGACGTTGGTGCGCCCTGGCATGGGTTCTCGTCAGGTCCCGGGGTATCACCATCCAACCACTCAGAAGGATTGATAGGACCGTGTTTCCCCGCTTGATCATCGGTTGGTTGTGTTCAGAAGAAATACAAGGTAGAAAGCGTATTGACTATAACTCATTCAAAAAAGCAGCACTGGCTAGTTGGTGGTTCGATTGCTGCCGATTGGTCACCCGAAGTTCTCAATCCCACGCAGGTGGTCAGACAGGGCGCTTATCAAGGGCTGGTTGATGCCGCATGCTCGCGCAACTGTTTTTTTTGTAAAAAGGTTTAATCGTTAGTTGCCCCTCTTCTCTCCTATCGTGGTGCGGGATTTCGACATTCCACCCGCCTCGGAAATATTGCACTAAAAAAATGAAATCAGCAGGGATGGAAGCAAGCCGTTTCATGGGATTTCAGCGCATCCCTGCAGGCAACTTGCAAAGGGGGTTCAGGTAGGAGGGGGGGTTTCTTTTCCACGGGGGGGTTGGGGACCCGTGAATAAGCAGTCGAGAGACTGCTCAATGCCTCGCGAGAGGCGGTTTAGTTACCTCACCATCTCGTTTTTAGATTTCTGGCATGGGAAACAGCATCGATATAGGGTAGCACGACATTTACCGAAGAATCTTCATTAAGGAAGTGAAAACCGGTGGAAAGTTTCTCACGATCCGGATGAAGTAGAGGATCTTCAATAAAGACTCTAGCAAGGCAATGATCCCAACATAAGAGTTTAAAATGGAAATCTTGCGTAAAAAGCGGGGGTAGGGAGGGGGGTTCACAGTGGATTAGGCAATCGTCTGCATGCAACGAGAGACCGACCAACGCTTCGAGAAAGGAAGATCAGTAACTCGTCATCCCATTTAGATCCTTGAACAGTATTTCCACAAGGTACGTTGAGCAGTAAGGCATTCTCCGAGGGTTCTTTCTCAGAGAAGCGCGATCCTGGTGGGACGCTTTTCGAGACCACGATGAAGTAGAGGGTCCCCTAAAGGTTATGACAACGCACATATCCTAATCATAAGAGGCAGAACCGAAGAAGGCACAAGTTCGAATGAAGTAGAGAGTTGCCTAAGGATTTTGACAAGGCGACGATTTTCAACAAAAAATGGTAGAAAACACAGGGAGGTTCTATTCTAATCGTGAGTTACGCAACGAGAGTCAACCTAAATGTTTCGCCGAGGCAGAAACAGACAAAGGCAGAAGTTCTGAAAAAATTCTCAGGCAGGGGGGGGGGGGTTTCACAGGGGGTTTCCTCATCGTGAGTATGCAACGAGAGACTGATCAATGTCTAGGTAGATCAGTATCTCGCCACACCGTTTAGATCCCGCCGCATGCGGAACAGTATTAAAAACAGAGTAGTTGAGCATCCAAACAACCTCCGAGGACTATCTTTTCAGAAAGGTGAAATCCTGGTGGAAAAACCGGGATAAGGTAGACAGCCTAAATAAAAAAAACATGCGCGGTAGAAAGAACGAAAGACAGCATGCACGGTAGAAAGAACGAAAGATAGACAGACATCCATAAAATCCGACAGAGTTCCGAAGAAAAAGGTTCTTGACGGAGACTTCCCCTCAAGGAGGCGAAAAATCGGGCGAAACTATTTCATGAAAAAAAACAGAGAGTCCTCATACAAATTTAACAAGGCAACGATTCTAAAAGATAGAGATGATGAAAGAACAACAGAAAACCTTGCGAGACATTCAGACACAACCGAGATCCAGAACAAAAAAAGAATCAACCCCACAAAAAGGGCAAAGTTTCTCAAAAAAACGATGCGAAAACTCCAAATCGTATGGCTAGAATTACATGCTCCGACTTCGAAAAAGCAGCTAACCATCCACAGTAATCATGGTGCCAAGGACATAGGGAGAAATGGAGGGATGAAGGGACGTAGAGAGAAATAAGGAGGAGAGATAGTCCTGCACCGTGCAACCATTTGGCTCTGTTACCGCTGAAGGCGAGAGAACCTGCAACAGATCCACAGGAGGGAGTGGCATTTCCCTTAGGCCTTTCTACCGCTTGCCACGCGCGGCTTCATCAGAGGGAGAGAGGAGACTGAGGGAGAGGAGAAGAGGAGAAAATAAGGGGGCGGAGAGAGAGAGAGAGAGAGAGAGAGAGAGAGAGAGAGAGAGAGAGAGAGAGAGAGAGAG